GATAGATAGATAGATAGATAGATAGATAGATAGATAGATAGATATGAGAGAGAGAGAAACAGATGAGATTATTGTTGTTAGAGACCCTCAAGTTGGCTACTACTTGTACTGACTCCTTTGTATGCTCAGCAAATAATTCAAGAAGCTGGTCAATGTGAAGAATGTGGCATCAGTATCGCTGGAAGACTCTTCAGCAACCTGTGCTATGCTGAACAACTTTGCTTGCCGAAAGTGAAGAGGATCTGAAACACTCGCAGCAGAATAAAGACTACACAGTCCTCAATTTGGATTACATCTCAACATCAAGAAAACAAGAAAGCCTCATCACTGGGCCAAAAGGCAACACCATGATAAATGGGGGAAACCTGAAGATGTCAATTATTTTACTCAAATCCACAATCAACACCCATGAGAACAAAAATCAAGAAAGCAAAGGTGTGCTGTATTAGGACATATGCTGTCAAGGACCTCTCCAAAATGCTGTAGAGCAATAATGTCAGTTCGAAGACTAAGGTACACCTAATCAAACCATGGTATTTTCAATTACTTGCTATATATCAGAGAATTGTTGTTGTTATTGTTATGTACTGTAGCGTCACCTGCAACTCATAGCGACCCTATTGTACACCAGCCCTAAACCCTGCTCTATCCTGTGCCAATCTTACTGTCTCTGACATGCCTATCTCCCATTACCGCAGGGACTGAATCAATCCATCTCATTGAGGATCTTCCCCTCCTGCACTGTCCCCTCCACCATCCCAAGCATGATGTCCCTCTCCAAGGACTGATCCTGCCCTGAAACATGTCCAAAGTGTGTCAGACAGAGCTTCAGAATCCTTGCCTCCAAGAAGCAGCCTGGCTTCACCCTCTCCAGAAGGAAATTGTTTGTTCTCCTAGCAGTCTATGGTATATTCAATACTCTTTTCTATCACTAAATCTCAAAGGCATCAACTCTCCTCCTAGCCATTATCTAGCTCTCTGATGTATAGCAAACAATTCAGTTGCAAAGACCATGGCCTGGATCGGGTGCACCTTAGTCTCCAGACTAACATCATTGCTCTTCAGTACTTTGAAGAGGTCTCTGACAGCAGACTTTCCCAATGAAATTCATCTTTTATTGGAAAGTGGATAAGGATTACCATAGAAGAAGAAATACTTTTAAATTGTGGTGCTGGAAAAGAGTACTGAATACCCCATGGACTGCCAAAAGTGTCCTCTCCGAGAGGAAGTGCAACCAGGGTGCCCCTCAGAGGCAAGGATGGGGAGGCTTCCTCTCATACATGTGGGCCATGGTCAGGAGGGATCAGTCCTTGGAAAAAGACATATCACTGGGAAAGGTGGAGGGTCAGAGAAAGCAAGGCAGAGCTCAACAAACTGGATTGACGCCCTACCAAGGGGCTCAAGTATGTCTGAGTTTGTGAAGATGACACAGGATGGGGTGAAGTTCGAACCTGTTGTTCACAGGGTTCTAATGGATCAACTTGACAGTGCATAACAGCAACCACACAGTGATCCTGTGAACAGCAGCTTGGATCTTTCCTGTGCCATCCTCACACTCTCCCCCAAGGTCAAGCCCATTGCTACAGTCCCTGTGTCAATCCATTTCGTTGAGGATCTTTCTCTCTTTTTCTGAGCTTTTACTTTTCCCAGCATGATATTTTTACCAAGGACTAGCACCTCTTGACAACCTGCAAAAACTTACACAGAGTATGTAAAATGCAGTTTCATCGTCCTTCCTCTAAGGAGTACTCTGGCTGCACCTCCAAGACAGATGTGTTTGTTCTTTTGGTCTGTGTATTATGTTCAAGGAACTCTGGTGGCCTGTGGGTAGGGAGGAACACTGTGAGCTCAAAGCCAGATGGTTTGAATCCACCAGCTGCATCATAAGAGAAAGATGGGCCGTCTCCTCTCACGTGATGTGCTGCAGCCTCTGAAAGCCAGCTGGAGGGTCAGCTGCGAGACAGTTTCAACTGGACAGTACTCAACAAACAGTAGATACCACTGGGAATAGATTTGTTTCCCTAATTTCTGAATGTAGAAACCCAATTAATTTTTTGTAGTTGTTTTTAGGACACATGTCTTTTTTTTTTTAGTGGTTGTTTTTTTTCATTGTTGCACATTTTCTTCCCATCTTTTGATTTCTTGTCTGTTGCCACCATGGATGTTGATTGTGGATACAAAATAGATGGACAGAGAGAGTAGACGGATGGATAGACAAGTAAACAGGTACAAGAGTGAACAAATGTGGCAGAATGTTAGCAACTGGTGAATCGTAATCACGTGTAAGGGTTCACTGAATTATTCTTTCAACACTCCTGTAACTTCAGCTCTCCACAGTCAAGTGTCACAGGCCTGCCTCATGGCTGCCTCACAGCCAGACAGCATCTGAGCCGAGACCGTTAGGTCCAACGCCGTCCTCTTTTTCTGGAAGGACCCTTGCCAGGCAAGGGCACAAGGCCTGCTGGTACCTCGGAAGATTCATCATTCTCACGGGCCATTATGCTCCCCGTGGTGACAGGTCTGCAGAGCTGGGTTCTGGCTGCCACCAAGAGACCACCCTGCAGGAGGCAGGTGACCTGCCAGGCTCCACACACAGCTGGGAGGGTCCCCTGGAGGCCACGTGTGCCAGCTGCTCGCAGGCTGGCTTGAGGCCTGGGGCTCAGCATGCCCACCTCTCTGATCAATGGACAAGCCACTGGCCCTGCCTGCTCCTCACATACCCCAGGCCGCTGCAGCCTCCTCCTCTTGGCCCACTGCGTGGTCAGAGCTCCTGGCCATTTGGGTAGCAGGCCCAGCGGACACAAGCTCATCAGGTCAACAGGTTAACAGCAGCCCCAGGGCCCTTTGCCTGAGCTGGGGACCATGCCCTGGGAGGGAGCTGTGTTACCATCAGGGACAACTGGAAGATCATCCTGGGCCCTGGCCCTCTCTCTGCTACTTCTGTGGAAGCCTGGACCCTTCAGGATTCCTTAGCCCTGTGGGTCCACTGCCTCCCTGCCCTTTCCTCACATCCCAACTGGGCCCTGAAGTCCAAAGGCTGACCCCTTGATCTCCAATTTAGGAGAGCTGGGTCCATCCTAGTCCATTACTCTCATGCTGGGACCCCAGCCTACTCCTCTACCCTCACTCCCCTAATCTGTGAAATGGGCTTTCAGTGCAAGCATCTCAGGACCTAACAGGAGAGGCTGCACTACCACAACCTACCTGCTGCCTCAGCCTTGGGGCCCCAGGCCTGGGTGACACACCTGTCCTGTATCTGCACTGGCCATCACAGGAGACCCCCAAAGTCTGATTCAGGCCTCCAAGGCCTCCTCCATTGCATCCAGGCAGCCAAGGCCCAGGGCCCTCTACTGCCGACCTGAGCCAGGGGTGACACAGAGCCCTGCCAGAGTTCACTCAGGCTGAATGCTCTGAGCCCATGAGCCATTCTTGGGCTGTTCTGTCCCCAGAGTGATCCTTCTGGAAGGCTGGAGTCTGCCAGCAGGAGGCCTGAACGAGGCGGGTCAGGGTGTGGACTGTGAGGACACAAGGCGACAAAGGCTCTGTGGCTGAGGCACCAGTGCCTCCTGTCCGGCATGCTGACCACCAGGGATGCTGCCATGCCAGCCCCACCACCCCTCATGGTGCTGCCTTCGTAAATAAGTTTGTTTAACGCTCGGCCCGACCACAGGCCCCGAGGCCAGGCGCCCGCTCACAGACCGCCTTTGTGTAGCGTGAAGGGCCCTTTCATCCTACCCTGGCCTTCCGCCCGCCAACCTGGACGGCCCCCCAGCCCAGGAGCCGTGGCCATGGGCAAATGGCAGGGAGGCCACAAGCCAGGACCTTCACACTCCGCTGCTCTGTCCCACCCGTCTGTCACAGGCCCCGTGCTTAGCCGAGGGCAGGGATGTCTGTGAGGTTGGGACACACCAGACCTCAAGTGGCCGAGACATGCCAAGCCCCCACTGGCAAGATGGCAGGACAGACAGCACTGACAGGCCCAGGCAGCTGACTGAGTCGCCATGAAGGTGTGCCCTGGCACCCCGCCCAGGTCTGCTTGTCCCTGGTAGGACATGTCGGGGGAGAGGTCAGGTAAGGCCAAACACAAAGTGTCCCCAAAGCATGCCTGCTGCAGCCGGGGCCCCCCTTCCTGTTGTGATTCTGATCTAGGTTGAGGCCCATGGCAGCCCCAGAGGGGCAAGCTGACCACCAGGCACAGAGACAGGCCCACTAGGTGGAGAAACAGCCCCCAGGCCCAGCCCTCACAGCTGGCATCCCTGAGGCGAGCACCCCACCAATCCTTCTCCCAGACTGTGAGGAGCAGGCTCCCTCGAGACCCTGCCGGGGGGGGCAGCCATGGAGTAGGGATGCTGTGTGCCCATCTCTACTGTCCCAAGTGCCGCTGTATGCCTGGTCCACCAGGAAAGGACCCCCGTCTGCACAAGGGCTGTGGTGTCCTCCCCACTGAGAGGAAACAGGCCACGGGCTCCTTGCTCTTTGAGCTGCTGCTTCTAATCTGAGGCTGCCCACCACCGGCTCCCCCCAAGTCCAGGTACAAGGCCTGGCTGAGGGCTTGGCCCCACAGTTCCCATCTAGTCACAGGGCCCAGGGCCATGCTCATGGTCTCACCCTGTCCATTCCTCTGTACACACACCCACAGACTTGGGCTACAGATGCCCCTAAGCCTTCCAGGACCAAGAAGTACCTCTCCAAGGACAGTCAGGCCGCCACATCCTAGTTCCAAGTGGCAGAGCAGGGACCCTGGAGCATGGATCCAGGAATAGGGATCCTGTAGCAGGGACCCCAAAGCAGGGACTAAGAGCAAGGACCCCAGAATGGTGACCTCGGAGCAGGGATCCCAGAGCAGGGACCTCTGAGTGGGGGCCTGGAGCAGGGACCTCAGGCCACCAGCTCCCGTTTCTGCTGTCCAGCACAGTTACCGGTGGAAACTTCTGGGCCTGGGGGGACTGCCCTAAGCTTGTGGGCGTCCTACCCTTGAGCCTCCCCCAGAATCCTCTAGATTTTGCCCAGACCACTCCTCTCTTTCTCTCTCTCTGGAGTTTTCCCCAAGGTGGGGCCAGTGCCTGGTCTCCAGTTGAGGACATTTCACACAACCAGCCAGAAAGGACTGAAGGTTCTGGTCATCACCAGCAAAGGTCTGTGGCTTTCTATTCAGGGCTGGGGTCTGTTCCTTCAGCCCCTTCTCTTTGCCTACTGTGTACTCTTGACCATGTCTCCCTCAGACCTGGAAGTCTCTGGTTTTGGGGGTCCTAGAAATATCCAGATGTGGAATGCCCCAGGCCCTCCCCCTCCACCAGTCATCCTCTTCAGAGGCCACCATCCTTGTCCCTAAGTGTTCTCCAGGATGCCTGTGCAACTTCGTAGGAGAGGGTCACAGAATTGCCCCAGTGGCGGAGATCACGCGTCTCCTGTGAGATGAAGACTGTGGTCCAGTCCTGAGGTGGCTCTGGGCCCCAAGGCTGATGGCAGCAAAGCCAGCTTCACCCCTTACCTGTGAGCACGGCGGGGGCCAGCAGCCCTGAGAGGAGCAGCAGAAGCACACGCAGGGCCAGACAGGACGCCATCGTACCAGTGAGTGAGCAGTGGATGTGCGGGGGACCAAGCTGGTTTAAACTCTGGGGCAGTGGGAAGGAGGGATCAAAGGGCTGGGCTGGGCTTTCATCAATGCCAACTCTGTCCTCCTGGGACACCGTGCCCGCCCCACATACACAAACACACACACACAGTGGACCGTTACCCAGCAGGAAATCGCTCCCGCCTCTCACACTCACATTCTCTCTCTCTCTCTCTCACACACACACACACACACACACACACACACACACGAACTGGAGTGAGTGCACACTTCACCTCTCACACCTACTCCTGGGCTGCTGGAAGAGAGAGGGTTTCTGACTTCCCTGTGTGGAAGACTTGCACAGAGAACCCTGAAGAAACACAGCCTCTGGATGCTTCTGCATTTCGATGCTTGTGGCCGGGCTCTGCACTCCATTCCCTATGACCCACGCTCTGCATTCGATTCCATTGACCCAGGCTCCACAATCAGCATCCTGGTACCAGCAATCAGAAAATTATAAGATCGTTAACACTGAGAAAATCTGGTCAGGGACCTCTCCAGGTATTTAAGAGCAATGATGTCAGTTTAAAGAGTAAATGCACCTGGTCTTCTCAATTCTTGCTTTGCATCTGTAAGTTGGACAATGACTAATAAAGACAGATGAATTATTGATGCTTTTGAATTGTGGTGTTGGAAAAGGGTACTGAATAGTCCATGGATTACCAAAAGAACAACAGATCTGTCTTGGAGAGAGTGAAACCAGGGCGCTCCTTGGGGGCAAGGATGGTGACACGTACTTTGGGCATGTGGTCAGGAGGGACAAGTCCTTGGAGTAGGACAGAATGCTGGGAAAGGCGGAGGGTCATCGTAAGAGAGGAAGACCCTCAACAAGATGGACCAACACTGTGACTGTGCTGACGGTTCAGGAATGCCGGGGACGGTGAGGATGGGCAGGACAGGCCAGCTTTCAGATCTGTCGTTCATAGGATTGCTATGGGCCACGATGACACCACCACACTTGTTAAGGAGTCCCAGTGCTATAGTATGTAACACAACTGCTAACCAAAAAGCTGGTGGTTCAAACCCACTAGTTGCTCTAAAGATCGACTCTCTCGTCCCATGAAGATTTATGACCTCAGGAACTTGGTAAAGTCAAAATCAACTCCACACAGTGGGGGTTTTGCTGTGTATTTGTTAAGACAGTATCTTTTTTTAGATTTATTCATAGGAGTTCTTTGTACACTGCAGATAAATATTCTTCCTCTGGCAGACCTATTCTGCATCTAGGCTGTGCCTTTTCTCTCTATGGTGTCTCCTGGCAAGTGTTTGTTTGGTTTTGGTCTACCCCCACCCCGTGACCCTCATTCCAGGCAAGAGGCTGTTTTCTCCCAGGTCCATTTCCAGAAGCCAGCACCTGGGCCTCGCCCACAGCAGGAGCCTGACAAACATTCCATCAGCTGGGACTTCTGAGATCAACACACAACACTTCCTCACTTGTTTGTGCTGATGGCTTGTTTGCTCTCAGCCCCCTATTTTCACCGCCTCCCCAACTCTGCAAAGTGGTCCAGACTCAGGCTCCCACATTCCACTTCTGAGATTTCCTTCCAGCCAGCTTCCTGCTGGATCCCAACTGACCTTTCAGTTAGCAGCCTTGCGCCTTAACCACTGCATCACCAGGGCCTCCTCCGGTGAGGATCTGCAGATGGAGGCACTGGGGGGATGGAAGGTGGGAGAAGTGATTCTGCTTCAGGTTTTAACACCAGCAGCAGTGCTGGCCTCAAGAACATCAGTAACTCAGGTAGACTGAGCTGTGTCCCCCCCCCCCACATTCAGTAACAGAACGGGAAAGCTTCTATGCAGTCTGAAAGGATTGAGGGAGGGATTAGAGTTGTGGGTGAATCACGTGACAACCACAAACTGTAAGAAGGGAGCTCTGGGGCTTTATGGACAAGAAGCAGCACTGCTAACCCAAAAGTAGGCAGTTCTAATCCACCAGCCGCTCCACAGGAGAAAGACGGCCAATCTTCCAAAAACCTGCTGGAGGATCAATTACGAGTTGGTTCAGACTCACCAGCCGTGCTTTTGTGGGATCATCACAGAAACACTAGCTCACTAACAGTGGCAGGCAGGTGAGAAGCCTGGGAGCACGGGATCTGCCCACAGCCTTAGGGCACAGAGTAACCCAGGTAACGTCTCCTCTGGGCTGCAGGTGTCAGCTGCCTCGCTACACTTTGTGCCTGAAATATCTACAGGTCTGTTTCTTAACCACACCCTAACCTGTAGGTGGTTCCTAGAACAGTCCAAGGAAACTGTCCCCCAAAGACATGTTGGGGGGCTTGGCTTGCTGCCAGCTGTGAGTGGAGACAAGGGCTTTACTGCCAGTGGATGACGAGATGCTGCACTAACAGCAGCTGGACTGAAGCTGGGCTTAGAAGGCCTTTCTGAAGCAAAAGGGAGCTCTGGTGGCCTAGTGGTAAGAAGCTGAGCTGCAATCCTAAAAAGATGCAGTTTGAATCCCCCAGCTGCTCTGTGGGACCAAGATGGACAATTTCTTCTGGTGCAATTTGCTGTCTCTGAAAACCCACTGGAGGGTCAGGTAGGGTGGATTCCGACTCGACAGTCCTCAGTAATAACATGAAGCAATGAGAACTGGAACATGAGAGAGTTGAGTTGGCTACTTGTCACTGAACTGGGCACTCACAGAAAGAAAGCAACAAGTTCAGGGACTTAAACCCTCAAGTCAAACCATGAAACAAATCTTTTAGATTTTGCAGACACAGGAAGATCTATGTATGGACTAGGTTTAGAAATTCAGAAATTACTACTTTTCCGTAGCATTAACAAAGGGGAGCCCTGGTGGCTTTGATCACAGGAGTGTGATGCTGACCAAAAGGGAGCACCTCTCCGACAGTTTGAGTCCACCAGCAGCTCTGGAAAAAGATGGGGGAATCTCCCATGTGATTTACAGCCTCTGAAAACTCGAGCTCAAGTCGGTTCCGACACAGGGAGGGCGGCGAGGCTCCTCCGGTGCAAATTACAGCCTCTGGACACTCAAGGCCATGACTTTTTGGTTATGTTACAGGGACATCTGGGGGTACAGGTGCACTGCTAACCCCAGTCAGAGGTTTAAATCCACAGTTGTTCTCCTACAGGTCTATGTGGGTACTCCCTTTCTAGAAAGACTTACAGTCCAGTGGAGGCTTGGAAGAAGCTGGAATCAACAGCCATGAATATTTTGTTTAATGTTACTAAAGGGGACACGGCGGTGCAGCGGTTAAGCACTAATCTAGTTGAAAGTTTGGTGATTCAAATCCCCCAGCTGCTCTGAGGGAGGACTGTGGCAGGCAGCTTCTATAAGGATTGTAGCCTTGAGGACTCATGGGACAGTTCTGTCCTAGAGGTCCCTGGGGCCGGAATCAACTCCACAACAGTGGGTTTGTTAGTATAAGAGTCCCTGAATCATGCAAACGGTCTGTATTTGTGTGAAACAATCAGTAGCACTGACGAGGAAAGCTCTGGCTGGCTGGGCCCATGAAGACTTCAGTCAAGAAAGGTCCAGGAGCAGGTAACACACCTGTCAGCCCAAGGAGGAGTGAGCTTGGAGGGGGAAGGGGAGAGGGAAAAGGAATGAATTGTTCATGGAAAAACCTCAGAGCTGGATTGCAGTCAACAAATGTAAGTATGGTCAATAAACAGTACAGCTGGGGGCGGGGGACAGAATGGGAAAAAGAGAGGGGAGGCAGCAAGGCCAAGTGTTGGGGGTTGTATGGGAAGACTTGAGGGTCCTGCTTGGGCAGTGCGGCGCGTGGGACAGTGTGTGGACCTCTGGGGTGGTTTACAGTCAAGACAGCCCCTACAGATAACAAACATCAAACAGCACTGTGACTGAGCTTCCAGGAATCCTCACCTTTAAAAATCCAGTCCCAGTCAAAACAACTGTGAGGTATCATCTCACCCCAGTTAAGAATGGCAAAATGTAACAGAAAAGCGAGTAACAAATGCTGGCGAGGATGTGGAGAAACGAACTCTTATTCACTGTTGGTGGGAATGTAAGATGGTGCAACCATTGTGGAAGGCGGTGTGGCGCTTTCTCAAAAAATTGTAAATAGAGATACCATTTGACCCAGCAATACCATTACTGGGAATATACCCCAGAGAGACCATGTCTGCCATCCAAGCAGATATATGCACACCCATGTTTATGGCAGCTTTGTTTACAATAATAGCAAGGAGTTGGAAGCAACCGAAGGGCCCGTGAACAAATGGATAGAGAAGCTGTGGTATATATTCACACAATGGAATACTACCCTACATTGAAAAACAAGGAACTCATGCAACATTATTCAAAGTGGGTGACCCTGGAGGACATTATGCTGAGTGAAATATCTCAGTCACAAAGGGACAAATACTGCATGGTGCCACTGTTGTGGAATGGGTCTGACATCAGGGTTGGGGTATGACAGAAAAAACCGGATAGATTATATTGAAAAAGATGAGGGAAAGAACAGACTAGAAGTGATATATGATCATCATGGTTAGCACAGGAATCCAGAATTAAGGTTGCATAGAGACGTGGACTCGGGGTGGGGGGTGGGGCAGAAGGGATGTGGAAATTGTATACTAATGAATTTTTTTTCTCTTCGGAGGGGGGCGAGCTGGTGGGGAGAGGTGGGCAGGGAGAAAAGTGCGGCAATGAATGAATGGAAATCCAAAACCTCTGTAAATGTCTATTAAAATTCATAATAATTTAAAAAGCCAATCCCAGACTCCATGCCACTGGCGTGATTCTAAGTTGTGGCACCCTCCTTTGGCTGTAAATCTTCTCGGGAGACAACTTAGCTTCCTCCCCTGGAGGTGAATTTGAACTGAAGACCTTTTCGTTTGCAGAACACTGCACCATCAGGGCGCGATCGTCCAGGTCTCCCTGGTGCAGACAGAACCTCAGGGAGGTACAGTGGCCTGGGGTCTGGAGAGCCAGTAGAAAGGGGGCTCGCGAGTCCTGGAGAA